GGAGGAATGGGCTTTGTATAAAACAAAAGTTCAAATACTAGAATAGTTCTATTAAAGCTTTTATCTGAAAATTTTCGTTTACAGTTTAGGTGTGATTTGAGATCCAAAGGTTCCAGTAATATAAACTAGAAGTAATAAAAACTGATGGAGTGAAGAGCGGTTTGCATACCTTCAGAGGAATGAGTCCCAATGAGTTTGATAATAATAAGTATAAATTAAAGGTTAGCGAGTAGATATTCATCTCTGTTCCCAATAGATGATAGATCTCCTTCAGGAACGCACCCCTGCCCACGCCAGCCTTGGTTTATCTTCCAAGACCATACGGGGGCGACCATTGTTCTCTCCCTATTCTTGCTATCCATACATGTCACTATTTTCCATTATGCAAGATAATATTGATAATGAATAAAATAATGATAATCACAATATCTTAAATAATAAAACAAAGCTGCAAAAACAACAAAATAAACACGAGACACTTTGTTGATATGACCTGCTACGTCACAATCGGGATAGGCAACCGACGATACGGATTCTGATTTTTAAATTTGCTTTAAAATTATTATGGAGACTTTTTTTTGCAAAAAATATTATATCAGTGTAATGTTTGCCATACATACTTTCTATATATCAACATTTAAAAAAAGTGAAAACACACTATTCAATAAATGCTAAATGAGGAAATCTGGGGCCACATACAATAGTATCTCTTGTGCTAGAGTTACTCAGAAATTAAATCCAATTTTTCAAAAGTCCTATAATTTTACTTCAATTCAGATATTTTTTTGAGCAGCCCGTTCGGCGCTCAAATCATAAACAGGCTATTCCCCTTTATCAATTTGTTACATTCGCTGGTCTTAATTGGGAATGAGAGGGAATCTTCGGGAAATATTACTGTTTCTCCAGAAGGAATACACTGTTTCTCCAAAAGGAATACATTTATTTTGTCTGATGAAAGCTTAGTTTTGCAAATAATATTATTCCGTATATTACGTATAAGCTCATTTTATCAAACTCGATGTATTCAGATAGCTAAGAGGAGATTGAGGCAATAATTGCCCACTTTTCAACAGGTCAACACGTCCACGTCTTGCGGTGCTGCAAATGAAGAAATATATCCCAGAAACGGATAAAAACTACAACCTGATATTAATTAGAAAATACGTTTACTTTTAATTACTTACATACGTTTTTCCGCAGACTACCGACATGTTTTTCGTGAGCCACGTATTACAGGGTGTTATCTCTTCCCATGGATGGAAGATTTACCGACTGGGCGAATAGTTCCGTTTGCTGTAGAAAGTCAGCATCAAAACGTGAGAACTAAACGCCCTGTGCAAACGTTACCATTGCCCCGTCAAAATCCGGAGAATAAAAACGTGACTTTCATTTTGATGGATTTGTTCTTCCGGCGGACAGGAGCCCTTCCGGTGGTAAAAAGCGAGTAATACCTAACTAAATCATATCGCCGCTTGTCAACTGTTTACGTGATGGTACTGGCGATGGTTCTGTTTAAAGAAAGTCGCCTCTCCTCGGATGAATATTAATGGCTCGTATATTTCCTTCTTGATTGTTCCAAACCAGGGAACTTATTGAATTTGTAATTCAGAGTTGCTAAGGGGAACCCTGAAAGGAAGTTTCAAATCGATATGGTACTGAACCAACAATCCACCCATATCACGCAACGGCGATCGCCGCGAAATTCTACAAAGCAATTGGCCTTTCCATCAAATTTATTACTTCGCGGTCCTTCGGGCAGGTTGTTATTCTCCGTAAGAAATTAACTCATCCAATTAAACACATAATGCCGCACGTGATGAATGTAGTCAAGACATGCCACGATCCTAATAATGTCTCTATAGACGAGCCTTATGATCGGCTTAATTCAGGAATCTTTATTTTAATGGTTAAAGCAACTTACGAATTGAATTAATGGCCTTAGAGGCAGTATAAGGCGACCTCGTCAAAGCTGCCATTAGCTATTTTTCTCTGGTTTTAAGATCAAAAAATTTCCCGGAGGAGAATGGAAGTATTTGTTTTCAGGGTGTTCATTTCGTCAACTAATCCATCATCCGACTTGCAAATCTGAGCAATTTTCTTTAAAGCGTCGGACTTCTGCATGGAAAATGAAAAAAAGCTGAATCAATAAAGAAGACAGAACACGAAGACTTAGTCAGGAGTAAATAAATATAATTTATATAAGCATGAAAGTGGTTTCGGTCAAAGGTTTGCCGAAATGAAAACACTGTTTTCCTTGGACCCTGGTTTCAAACCTTTTCTAACCATCTTCAGGGCTCTTTGGGAATGATATAACAGAGTACAAATAGATTCGAGGACGATTTAAAATTATAAAGCGATTAAATGGGGTCCAACCTGAGTTATTCCAAGAGAAACGGAAAAAGGTGCAATATAAAGGCTTTGCTTTCAAAGACAGCAAAGAAATTGTGAATTTTTTGATGGTCTGTATTTCTTACGATAAATTATTGCAAAATCTGAAATGAAAGGCTTTTACAGAATGCTGATTAACGTTAATAAGTACGAAAGAAGAAGCGGATCCAAGGTAAATTCGGAAGTTGGGAAAATCTGTTATAAACAAGCGGGTCTGGAACTGTAGCTGAAAAATCATCAACAGCATGAATAAGTAGGAGGTCACACAAAAAGCTGACAAAGCAAAGGAAGAATAAATAATTCAGAAAATGTTCAGGAAATATAGTAAAATGTTCCGAATTATAAGGACGAAAAAGTTAAAAGAAAGTGACTATAGACGGATTAGTTCCTGTTAATCGCAACTTGAATAATAGTAAGGGATTTTTAGGGATCATAGAACAGAGTATCCATAGACTTGGATGTGACTGGTGAATTTTAAAATCGATTAAATGAGATTCAGCTTGAGTTAGTCAGAGAAATAAAAAAAATCTGCAAAATAAATCTTGAAAGTGAAGATAAAGAAGAACTTCGAAAGGAGAAGAGGGAAGAAAATGTGAATGTTTTAAATGTTCTGTATTTATTCTGATAAATTGTTATAGAACCTAATTTCAAAGACATTCTTCGACATTAATGCCGAAAAATATTAAGAAGCAGAATAAAAATGCGGATTTAATTCACATCTGGAAGATGATGAATTATCAAAAGCATGAAGAAGTAGGAGAAGATTACCCAAAAACACCTGACAAAGCAGTAGAAGCAGAAGAAAGGGAGCAAAGAAAATGCGAATGTTTTTTTAAGTTTTGTCTTAGTTCCAATAATTTTTTACTAAACTTAATGCGAAAGTATCTGACAATTATGCCGAAAAATATTAATAAGCAGAAAACGACATGCGCATTCACGAGGAATCTGGAAGTTGAGAATACAAAAATGTTTCAAAAAATATAGTATCAATAAAACTAATTGTAATTTGTAACGAAAATGATTAAAATACTGTTACTATTGACGGAATTGCTTTCAAATTGAAAAACGATTCAATCGAATCGAAAGGACGAAAATGCGAAATAACGCTTGGCAAATGAAGATGAACGTTATGCTTCGAAAGAGAGCAATGAAAATGTGAATGTTTAAAATGTGTGGGATTAATTAAGATAAACTATTACAGCACCTAAAACGAAAGGCTGTTTAAGAAAAAAATGGAAAATGGCTAAACTTTATATTAATTTTTTTTTCGTTCTGTATTTAATCCAATAAATTGTTACCAAACCGCAACTGTTACTAAAGCAAAATAATCGATTCGAAAAAAATCTGAAAATTGGTAAAGGTTATTAGAAAACACGCGAGTATGGAGCTGAAGCTCATAAAGCATCGACAGCACGATGAAAGAAAAAAGACACACAAAAACATCGTACAAAGCAGAGGAACAAAAAGAAAAACAAAAATCGTTCAGAGGAAAAGACGCACATACGAAAGGACGATGCAACATAAACCCCAAAGTTGGAACAAGTTAAGGAGTTGGTCCTAACCAACCAAAAAAATATCGGATTGTGGCTAGTAAATGATCAGCTTGAAGAAGCAGAAATGAAGATCACACAAAAACCAGAATACTGAACTTAAAAAGGTCGATAAGTATTTTATAGTTATGCTGAAAAAGTTTATTAAGTAAAAAGAAAATGCGGATTCAGAAGAAATCTGAAAGTTGACAAAAGCTTCTAAAAAATAACCGGACGAGAACATCACACAAATACAACTGACAAATCAGAGGAAGACGAAGTAAAACAGAAAGCTTTCAGATAATAACGTAAAAATAAATAACTTGACTGGTACTGAAAATCTTCAACTATAAACGAAAGGAGGAAATGCTGATTCAACTTGAATCTTAAAGATGTAACAAGTTGATGAGGTGCTGTTAACAAACATGCCAAAATGGAATTGTGGCTGAAAAAATATGAACTGGAAGAAGCAGTACATGAAGATCACACAAAAACCAACGCCACAGCAGACAAGGAAGAAGAAAAGAAACAAGGAACGTAAAAAAATTATGCTCTATACATATCTAATGAAAATGATCGACGGGATATTCACCTGCACGTATCGGCTGGACGCCGCCCGTCCTAATTTAAAACTCAACAGTCGTCATCGTCGATAAGTATTACGAACGCGTCCTGTATACAGTGTACTACCAAGTATGACTGCAGGATATGCACCGAATTTATTTTTGTCGTATAAATAATTTTTATGTGAATCTGATATCGTATGCACAGTCGATAGCCAAAAATCGCCGGATGTCTGGCGAACTGCACTTGATAGTACCATATGCGGTGACATTGTTAAAACATGTTTTGAACGTTTATTTCGAATTAGGAGCACAAAGCAGGTTTAATGTAACATTGTTGACGCTCACAGCAATGTGATGGTGTTTAAAAACACTGCATATCAAGGCAAAAATAATTTTCTCATCCTGCAAAGACAGTAAATGGACGTAAGTACATATGCCGAGAACTTTGCAAATTTGCTACACAGCAACACTTTGGCCGAAATAGGGAAAGGACTAGTTTAATTTAAGAGTCTGTTCATAGTCATAACTTAAATTTATTAAGAGAAAATATAACAAAGTACTGTGCTGGTTCTATTAAGTTGCAAATAACTGAGTTGATAATGGATGTAGAAAGGTTGCTGCTCAAGTTCGGTGCATATATTTACTGAAAACTGTGCTTTCCCTAGTCAGCTTGTTCCTCAAGTCACATTGTGAGCTATTCTGAACAGGTATTAGGAGCAGCTTTTACTATCAAGCGAATTTGCTGCACTCCTATCAATCTAGGATGTCTTATTGATCAGAGTAAGGTAGGAATACGATGTTTTAATAATCTAAAACAAATAACCAGCACATTGAAGGCAAATACTACACTCACCTACCATCCGTTATCTCACCACTAGCAGAAGGCTGAAATTGAAGATTCCAAAAGGAATGGCATCCATGCAAAGTGGCTTTTGGCATCGCAACATAATAAGCTGCGAGTCTTTGGTAGTTGACGTGATATTGTCGTACCATCTGGCTTTGTAGACAGCGTCCTGAATATCGTAAGTCTATAGATGTAAGAGTTGTTGCATAAAAAACTTGCAGATTTAGCTGTTTGGATACTCACTTGGTCTCGGATCTTTTGCCCATTTTGGCACACTAAAAACACTGCCATCGCATAACCTATTAAATGGAGCATCGGATGGATGGAGTATTCCTAAAAAAAATGTATAGCGAAAGAAGAAAAGTGGTGGCAAAAGCACTTTAAGCATTTGAGTCCCAATGCAACTGAAGACAATTGAGGCGACAAAGGACAGTTGACCGCACACCTTCCTCGCAGCTCCGTTCAGTTCTTCTATAGTGCTTCGTACAACAAAATAATGTAGCCAACACCCATTTTGAAAGTAATTTAAATTGATTTACCTACCTGATAATATCCTGATGATACTGAATGCAAAACCGTAGCCTGGCCCTTCTAATCTCAAGTTTATCGTTGTCCAAAGCGCTCTCAAAGAGCTGCTTGAGATGGTGAATTTTGGCGATTATCAACTCCCCAGCCTCCCATATGATGTAGGTCAACGTGGCTGATGGAGGAACATAGGAAACTGAACAAAAGACTTTAGAGTTGAGGCATGCGCGATGAATATTGTAACCCACTGCAAGAAATCAGTTGACAAATGACGATGATTGTCTTTAATCCGGGCTCAATATCATCCTCAGGCCACCAGAGCGGCGTTAAAGTTCTGCAAACATCATGGATGTTGTGCTCAGCGTTCCACCGTTCACATGGTCCTAAAAGAGCCTCATTTCACCAAAGACTTAACGAAATTTCTTGTTGTGAACCTGGATCGACAATATTGATGATTCCGTAGATGATAATCCCGGTACAGCAATAGAGGAAGTAGATCCACGAGAATCGATTGCATTTATCAATAACCTGGGACATCTTGGGGGGCATTCCAAACTTTGATGTGTCAGTGATGTGGAAGAAGACGCGCGACCATTCTTTAACGTTCAATTCGAACATAATGCACAGGAACATTGAATTAGCCAGACCGGTGAAGCCCACAATGTCTTCGGATATGTCCACAGGAACATTGTCTGAAACATGTTCGGATTAAACCGGCTACGTCTAAATTAAATGATTTTGATGGTAAGGTAATATTAGCATGATAGAAGATCAAAACATAAAAAGAGATGATGAAAGCACATGTCTGGGAATAAAAATGACGAGGACATAACGAACTGAGGAAGCTATAAAGAACAGGATAACCAAAGGAGATCAAGTAGTGGGGCACTGATCTCAATATTATGGCAGGCAAACATAAGACAAGACACAGAAAAACGAATATAAGGTACCCTATTAAAACCAGCTGCTCTAAATGGCTCAGAAGTGTGACAATTAATACAAAGAGTTAAGGATAAGCTATGAACAATCTGACGGCCTCTCTTCTCTGAACGATTTTTGAAGAAGAGCCGCGCGAAAGCATAGTTTGGAGCACGTGATAAATAAGCACATCAGAGAATGTGAAAGAAACAATTTTAGAAGACATTGAAAACATCGATTAATACGGTATGGACGTGTAGGACGTATTGGGAAAGAAATACTGCCGAGGGAGAATTGAATTGAAGAGAATTTTTCAAAAGACGGTGGACTGGAATCCAAAGGCATATGAACGCTCTTCATACAAAAATATAACGAAACATTCTAGCCACCAGGTCTAAGTAAATGGGAGTCACGGGGAGCAACTGTAAGAAGTTGTTAAGAATCGAAAGCAACGGAAATTGGTTCTTGATTATTTATTCTTACGGTTTTCAGCTGAATCTATTAGGAACATTTAATATCTAGAAGTTGTTGGGCTGCCATCGAAATCTTGCATCTCCAGGAAAATAGCTGGAAAGTGAAGAYAAAATATAAGAAGCAAATGTAATAAGCAAATATGAAGAGGAACAAACTATATCGCCTTGTACTTCTTCTTTTTCATTCTTGAATTTAGGCGAATCCCCTACGCAATTGCTGCGTGAGGCTGTCGCTCCATCGTTTCTTTGGGCGCCCAACGTCTCTTCGTCCCAATGGGTCCAATGTCGCGAGAGATTCTCACAAGCCTGCGTTGGTCCATCCTGCTTATGTGCTAATTCTATTCCTTCTTCCTGTTTGCTACCCATTCATTGGTGTTCTTGACATTACAGTCTGTGCTCACATCCTCGCTTCTCGACTCTGATTCGACGGAGTATTTTCATCTCAGCTGTCTCTTGGTTTTCACTCTCCTCGTTTTGTACTGTAATTGTTAAAATGTTGTTGTCTTTGTTGCTTATTCTTCAAATAGTTTCACTCTTCCATCCATTGCCCACTGGTTCATGAGCATCTGTTTTAGTTTAATTTGCCCGTTAACAGCTCTGTGTTACCCAATTTTTATTACTACGAATTGATTAGTATTTGTGTTACCTCCATAAAAAAAATTTTATTGTGTATTTACTGCGAGTTCTATTCTTTTCAGTAAGTATATAAACTTAATCGAATTACCATGGGCGCTATTATATTATAACTGTGTGAGGTGATTTAAATTTTGCTGCTTGGACAAGCGCGTACTATGAGCTTCGCAAGTTTCCTCAAGGTTTTCCTGCTCTTTCTTCTATTCGTTCAAATAAGCCTGTCTACCAATTCAGGCGAGTTATCCGTTGCCAAACCGAGATGGTACTATCTTCGTTGTGTTGAATGTTACCGGCCAGATGCTAAGGGAGAAGCATGTGTGAAGATACCAGGATGCATCAAAAGTACGTAGTACTGTTGAAAATAATATAGATTCAGATTGTACCTTTTCGCTATTCCAGATAGCTCATTTTTCCAAAAACTAATGGCGTCTGGCTGGTTCTGATGGACGGACTCTGTAGCTTAATCTGTAAGCTACATGACTCACTTCCTCCGCGCGTTTATTCGCAAAAAAAAACGGGGAAGAACTTTAATTAAACTTTATTATTATTAACTGGACTGTTATTAAAAGCCTCAGCAGAATGTTCCGATGAGGATATTGCGCAGCGACTGTAATGTGAGCTAATCTTTGCCTTAGCATTTCTCCAATAACAGCGGAGGCCAGCATGTCATGCATTCCATCCAGCAGGAGGGAAAAGTTACAAGTGATCACAAAAACAATAAAAAAGGTCATTCTCAAGAGGAAAGTTGACATTAAGCAAGTTCAATGAAGGTCAATGAAGGAAAAACTTGGTTCAGCAAGCTGATCCGATATCTGGCAGGATATCCGTGACGATTTTGGAAAGTGGAATGATGTCTTGGGAATCAGGGGTGGGTTTTAGGTCAACCATGATTCAGCTGAAACACATGCGAAGTGGAAGCATGCGCAAATCGGTTTTAGCTGGGAAAATTCACTAAACTATTGTTACAAGTTTTACCAATTTTTTCTTTCACTCACCTATTAGATGCGAGTTAATTTAATTTATTGTCTGAGATTGAAACACTGAATTATACGCATTTCAGGAAACCACAGGAGAAATCAATCAAAATTCGATCAATGCGTTTTAGTTTACAGTATGAATATCAAGGATTTAAGAACAGTTGATCCCAACTAATTGTTTTTGCAGTTGATTTTAATGGAAGGTTTGATCGTGTGCTGTAAGCGGAGGAGCGATTTTCTAAAGCTAAAAGCAAATGCATAGAAGCTTAAATTTCTATTGAGTAAAATATGTAACTCATAAATTAGCACATGCATTTGTAAACGTTAAACTTTGCGCCTGAAAGAATTTTTTGGTTCAGTGCTTGAGCTTTCCAGTCTCCAACTAGTCAACTGTAAGAAGACTTTTTGGCGATCGGTTTTTTAAAAGTACACATGTTACAATGAGATTGAGGTTGAATTGGTTATAGGCTAGTTTTGAAAAAAGTAATTAAATCTACTTGTAACTGAGATTAACCTTAAAATGAAGAAGAAACTTTTGGATCTTTGAACTTCAAAAAGCAAAGTTTTGAACTGCGCTTAATTGGTATGAAACATTGCGAAAGTATGATAATGTTAAAACTGTGAGAGTCAAAGGCGTAACTGCGAAAGTCAACCGCGCTGAACTTCCTTCATTTGGAAGCTTGGGCTTTCATTTATGTATGAAGAAAGTATGTAACCTTTTTCTTTAACTTTACTTTTCTAGACTACTTTAAAGCAAATTTACAACTGTGAGTATGAGGCGCAATATGATAATTCAGCGACGTTGAACGTTTTTAATTGAACTGTTTGATCGCATTTATTTCTGGAGAAAACTATGAAGACTTTTTTCGAAAACCTGACACTCAAAAGTCGACTTACGCTCAATTATATTAAAAAATATCCATATCTTGCTAGTTAGCCGACAACTATATTTTCCACCCCACAACATAGCCGTGTAGAGTTTGAACTTTCAAAAATTAAACCTGCTATTAAATTCAATTTTACCGAAAAACTGCAAACGCAAATATATAACTTGTGTGTATATATAAACTGTGTGTGGTCCAAGGCGCAAATTTGGAACTCAATTGCGATAAATTTCTACAATTGCAGTTTTAGATTTCATTTATTTATGAAAGTCTCACGAGTTTTTAGCGAAAAACGCATTCTAAAGTTCAGTTTCACTCAATTATATTTTAAAAAATACTATTTCGTTGGTTGGTGGAAAACTGTATTTTCCGAAGCACAAAATGTGAGTTTGGAGTTTGAGCTTCCTACAATAATGTCTCTAATTTAAGTTAATGCTAAAAGAAAGTTGCAAAGGTATTGCAAAATATCCTATTCAACTTCCAGCATTGGATCGGTTGCGTTGCAAATTGTTGTTAAAAACACTTTTTAATATAGAAAAAACATTTAAATTTCCATATACGCCAAATTATGATATATAAATATATAATATATATACAAGTTATATTATACATACGGTTTTTGCGGTTTGGTTCATTTTTTCCTTTGCGTTTGAATGCGTGTAAAATAATTTGATGGTAGCATTTGAAATTTTTGTGAAAAATTAAAACAAAGACATTTTTTCGAACTGCGGATTTTCCGAAAATGAGTAAGATTGTTGTTATCTCACATATTGAAGAGTTTTTATTGCTCTTTCAATTGATAGTAAAAACTTTGAAATCGGCATAAAAATATTTGGGGGTCCTTTTAGATCGAGGAACAAATGCACACTGGAATAGTCAGAACGATCTCTATTTCTAGAAGTTATGTTGGGAGAAGCAAGAATATACAAACTGGAAGCTCGTCTGGGTCTTATTGTAAACTATTACCATCAACTAGTGCACAAGAACATAAAAAAAACATTGCGTAAGAAGATACATATTAAAAACGAACAAACATGTGAAATCCTTAAAAGTCTATCTTTTGCGCCACAAAGGTTACAAGAAACGTGAACCGACCTAATGAAGTATTCCATATGTTTCCAATAGTTATAATATTTAAGCATAGACAATTTGTCTCAAAATAGACTAACCTTTAACAGCCATGCTGAAGTGTAGGACACATTCGATCCAAACGAACGAATTCAGGATACGAATAAAGAGCGAAATGATGCGATAGATTTTCCAGCTGCTCTCATTTGCTCTTGAGGGATAGTAATGAAGATATCGCATAAACAACAAGCTATAGTAGAAGGCATCGGTTTTCTTGGGCTGATACATTTTGCTGAAATGGCAAATAAATTCCGGCTTTCAATGCGTGACCTTGTGCGTAATATAGATGCAATTTACTGCACGTAAATCTGAATAATTGAAACTGTGGATTGTAGGGATTTATTTTCGCATATACTTATTAAGTGCGGAATATTAGCAAATTGTATACAAGCGCTCTCTGCGAGTTCAATTTGCTGCTACATCCCTTGATTATTTTGTATGCACATTTTTATCATAATTAATATGTGATGACTTGCTTCTAACTTTTGGGTGCCAAAGGAGATTGGCTTTGAGTAAAATACGCCTTTGGCATCGCATCATAAGCCACTGTGGATCTTTGGCTGTTTTTGAGTGGGTTTTATGCCAATTGGATTGGTAAACGACATCGATTTGGTTCGATTTGGGATTGATTATACTTGTGAACTTTGCCTTAAAGCATGTGCACTAATCGCGAATTTAAAGTCGGTTTTGCATCCGATCAACGTAAAAGAGTATAACTTGCCTTAAGAAAGAAAAATGTTTAGAACCGAGCATTAAGTGCAATATTATGTCACTACCTAAATAAAATAATAAATCACCACTATTTACCCGATTTTCCTAATGGAAAGTAATATCTAGGCAAATAGCAATAATAGAAAATGAGTTCGATTAATAACGAAAAATGTGCTGCATTTTTACTAAAACAAACTGAATCTCTTATTATCAATTCAGGCTCAATCAATTTTATTGAGACATTAAATCGACAGACAATAATTTAGATTGAAATTCATGGATAGTACCATTTAGATTAATCAAATAGAGAATACCAGATTTATTGGTAAAGGGGAATTTGCATAAAGCCACTACTGACGACTTTGAACTGGGAAAATTGTTTTTTTAAGTTCTCAAATCTTATTGGAAATTGAGAGGACTACAGAACTTGTACCTTTCCATTGATTACTGAATGTCCAATGTGGACTGAATGAACTTGGCCCATCTTGGATTTGCGACAACGTTTAAAAATGTATTTTCTCCTTTTTGGTGTTAACTTGTTGATATCTGGTCACCTCATCTCTCATCTTCAACGATTTGTTCTGGTGGAGCAAAACAATAGCCAAAGTGAAGACGGTGAAATGAAACACCGCAGAAATTGAAACTCAACATATTGAGTTGAATAGTGAGAATCCAATCAAGTTGATGGTTAAATAGTTTAGCCGCATTCGTGAAATTTTGGACAATTACGATTAAGATCACCTTGACCATTTCCGATGCCAAACAAGCGAGAACTACAGCTGAAGCATAAATTATCTGACCGAAAGGAGCTTGTTGACTCCATTCAGATCTTTGCAGATCCTGATAATGAAATTCATTCCCCAATTTGCAAAGGCAAAAATCTGCATAATCCACAAAACATGAGTTTTTTGGAAAACGGTCAGTGAGAGCTTCCAAATATAGCGTGTTGCGTTCTATGTAACATTTGGACGATTTTTTCAGTTTTACTTACCTAAATAGTTTACATTCGAAACAATTTTGATTATGCTTCGGT